ACTTCCAGGGGTCTCATATCAGAACCAAAAGTGGACGGAGTCCAATATGCAACTCTTACTTTCGTACCACACCAAAGCAAGAGGTATTGCCACATTTCTAGTCAAGCCAAAGCACTCAAAGAGGGTGTGGAGGAGTGATAGTGAAAGATGTGGCATGGGGCGAAGGGGCGAAGAGAATTCACATTTGGCTCATGGTCTGGATGCTCAGGAAACTGACCTGAAGATAAGGAAATTCTTAACTGAAAATTGACATTTCTTAAATTCAGAGGGAAGACAGGAGTGCCTGGCGTGCTCTGGTCCATGGGGTCATGAAGAGTCGGACAAGACTAAACAAACAACAAAGCAGCCCCACCAGACTATCCATGGCTCTCAATGACCATGATGGCTCTGCTCTGCCTCCACAGCTGGAGGCATCAATGCTTCCCAATAGCACTTCCTGGAAGCCACAGGAGGGGAGAGGGGTCTTGTGCTTGAGTCTTGCTTGCTGGTTTCCCTTTGGGACATCTGTTTGGCCACTGTGAAAACAGGATGCTGGACTAGATGGGCCATTGGCCGGATCCAGCAGGCTCTTCTTATGTTCATCTCGGTGTTGAAAACTAGAGTGAAAAATCAGCTGATTAACTATGCTGATTTGTTTCAGTGGCTGAAGACGCCCTTGTTAGGATTTGCACTTTGATAACTTGGACACTGCAGTAATTTGCTCAATTCGCTTGGAGTTTGACTAGTTCATTAAAAATCAAACTGAATAATTTAATTAATTGAATTAACACCACAAAGATAAACCAGAATCTTCGTTACCAACTCAGCTCTCCCTCCAGCAGTATGCAGCTATCTCTGAACTGTGTTTAACCTCTGCTAACAAAGCCTGTAATATTCTAGCAGTCAATGAGAGGCTTTTGTGAGCAAATGGAGTGTGCTTGGAACCTTCCGAATCTCTTGGGAAAGCTGTGTGAAAGAAACATGGTGTGTGTGTAGGAGAGACTATAGAGTTGCAAGTGTATGGAAATCGACTGCCATTGATCAATTCCATTAGTTGCATCATTAACAAGACCCATCCTGTCAACAGCACGTTAGGAGAGCCCAGGGACTTGGGTGGCGCTGTGGTCTAAACCACTGAGCCTCTCAGGCTTGCTGATCAGAAGGTTGGTGGTTCGAATCCTTGCCGAACTCCCGTCTGTCCCAGCTCCTGCCAACCTAGCAGTTCAAAAGCATGCCAGTGCAAGTAGATAAACAGGTACGGTTGCGGCGAGAAGGTAAATGGCATTTCTGTGCACTCTGGTTTCCATTGTGGTGTTCCATTGTGCCAGAAGCGGTTTGGTCATGCTGGCCACATGACCTGGAAAGCTGTCTGCGGACAAACGCCAGCTCCCTTGGCCTGAAAGCGAGATGAGCGCTGCAACCCCAGAGTCGCCTTTTCCTGGACTTAACCATCCAGGGGTCCTTTACCCTTATTAGCTTTGGGAGGGCGCACTGGAAAGGCTTCCATTAGGAGATTCTTAACGTCTCTGATCTTTCATTACACAGAGGGCCAGTTGAGAAATGCATTAGGACTTGGCTTTGATATTATGAAAGGGATGGATTAGTGTTGAAAGGTTAGCCTAGCCTAGTACACTAGGGTGCTCCCGTTGCTCGGTCCCTGCTCCTGCCAACCTAGCAGTTCGAAAGCATGTCAAAGTGCAAGTAGATAAATGGGTACCACTCCGGCGGGAAGGTAAACGGTGTTTCTGTGCGCTGCTCTGGTTCGCCAGAAGTGACTTAGTCCTGCTGGCCACATGACCCGGAAGCTGTAAGCCGGCTCCCTCAGCCAATAAAGCGAGATGAGCGCCACAACCCCAGAGTCGTCCGCGACTGGACCTAATGGTCAGGGGTCCCTTTACCTTTATGAGAACATTACTTACAGCATCTGCAAGACTGTAAAGAAAGTTCCTACACTTGAAATTCCTAATTCTTTCTCGATATAACAAATCACCAGGTTTCAATTGCTTATAGCTTCATTGAATCTTTCTTTCTTTCTTCCTTTTTTAAAAAAATGCTGTTAGTTTAATTGCTAATTGTTCCTTAAGCAAGCCTAGTTAAACAAGGTTTTCATCTTATTTTCCCAAGATCTTGTGGGATGTAAAACTGCAATCAAGTACAACATTCCTAGAGTGGACATGTATGGGGATGTTTTGTACCACTCAGGAGAAGACTTCCTGTTTCCTCCTGAGCTGGGACAGACTTGAAGAGGGTGTGATCTGTTGTACTAGCATGGAGGAGCCCACAGCCTCCATGTCTGGATGAGTGTGTCTTCTCCATTTTGTATGTTGCTATGTGTTTGGAGAAGTGACTGCTTAGTTGCAGTCACTTGGGACTAACTTCTTTATGGAATAGTTCTGGAATAGCCTGCCTTCAGGGATATGTCTGTGAACCTGAATGAATCTGTGAGTAAACTACTTTTATATTAATGTTAATCAGATTCTTGTGTTTATTCTTTTTAAGAGGGATTAGAAGGGATTTTACCAGGAAGGAATCTTTAATAGTAAGACTCAGATGAGTCAGCAACAAGCCGATTGCTGTGTAATTTAAAAAGGGGGCTGTTTGGAATTCTGCTAGAATATGGAACTTGCTAGCGAATTAAATAATATATCCTCTCCAGCCTCCCTAATCATCCCCACAGATCTGACAAATATGATTGTTGTCAGTGCAAGTGTTTATAGAACTGTGCCTGTTGCTTCTTGGGTACATTTGTGGGGCGTGCTCTTGGGAAGAGTCCTCATAGCCACCCCCACCCCCCAGGATTATACCAAAAACCCAAAAACCCAACACTTGGGGTGAATGTGTACCAAGCTAGAGTTTTCCTCACTTCCCACCCCAGCTCCTGCTTTGTTTTATATACAGCTTGATGAAGAGTTTTGGTGGACTCAGAAATTGTTCACTATTTTGTAACATTTGGGTTGTTTGTAGGCTCTGCTAGCTCAGTGTTGTCTACACTGACTGGCAGCCATTTGCCAGGGTTTCAAGCAGGGAATCTATCCTCCCTGGAGATGCCCAGGATTAAACCTGGGACCTTCTGCATGCAGAGCAGAAGCTCTGCCACTGAGCTGCAGCCCCTTCCCTACTGTTGCAGCCATAGCATGTTACCTGAAAAAAACACCAATGGAGTTTTGCAGCATCTTAAGAATGAACAAATATGTTGTGACATTACACAGTCAAGCTGAATAGAGCAGTGAAATCTAGAGAAGTACTGGGGAGCCTACAGGCATCTGCTCTCACTCTGGGATAGAATAACATTCAGCCCAGAAAGACAAACAGAGAGAGAGAGAGAGAGACCAACTCTAGACGATGACGACGACGACGACTACTACTACTACTATTAAAATAATTTTTCTTACAGAACTCCAGGAAGGTTTGCAAGGTGCTTTTAGAAGTTTTGAAATTTTAACTCTTTCCTTGGGACTCTTTCTGACTCATACATTGATATTTTATACATTTATTATTAAAAAATGTCCTTGCATGTAGAAACAACATGTATGTAGAAACAACATAACAACATAACATAACATAACATAACATGACATAACATGACATAACATGGGAACACAAGCCAGATATGTGTGTATATTCAAATCAAATATATATATATTTTCTTTTTAAGTCCCAGCAGCACTGGAGATGTTAGCCCCTGGTGACATCCGTGTTGCTGTGCTACACAGATTCCCCTCTTCTTCTTTTCCATAAGAAATCTTGTCAAACATAAAAAGAAGGATAGCCTTGGCCTCTGAGTCTGCTCAGGCTTGTACCTGGTGACTTTAAACATTTTAGGTACAGAATTATCATTACTGCTGCAGACTGATAACTGCCTAATGCCTTCCAGATATATTTTGGGGTCCTCCAATGTGTCAGGAAGCTGCTTCCAGAAAGGAGAGTCTGTCGTTCAGTGGCAGAGCACCAGGTCAATCCCCTGACAGCTCTAGTTCAATGCAACTCAATTAGGAGATGCTATGCTGCTTTTTAAAATAACTTTTCCTGAAGATTGTAGATCTCGTCTGTCAGAGTAGACAATAGTAGGCTGGAAAGACCAATGGTCTAACTCAGTGGTCACCAAAGCGGGTGGTATCACCTTCCAGGGGGCAGTAAGATTACCTAGGGGGTGCTAAGAGGCAAGGGGGGTGGCAGGGGGGCACTGGAGGTGTCAGTGACTGCTCACAATGGACCAAGTTCATCAATGCTGTTGAAATAATTAAACGACATAATTTTAATTGTTTTTTGATTAAATGTGCAATTAATTAAAACAATAAAAAAATTGTCCAGTAGCACCCCAACCTGTGCAATTAATTGTTACTGTTCTGAATTTGTGTTATTATCTTCTTTAGTTGGTCATGCCATTCTGAATAATACTTTTAGTAGGGTAGGGTAGGGGGCACTGGGGCGGGGAGTTTATGGAACCAGTGGGGCAGTGCTCTGAAAAAGTTTGGGATCCTTCATGTAAGCCAAGGGTGGGGAACCAGCAGAAGAGCCTCAGCCTTCCCTCTCCCCACCCCCTGCTCCCTTGCTCCTCCCTGCCCCCCCCCCATGACTTTGTCTAATCCCCTTTTACAGCACTGGATGCCCTCCCCCTGCTTTCTTTGCAAATAAGGAAAAGACAAGAGGATGTTAATTAGTATAAAAGGCCCCATAACAATCAAACATGCCACACTTTAGGCTGTGACCTTGCAAGCAAAGAACAGGTTCATTATCTTCCAAAGTGCTGCCTCACAGCAGGAGTAGAGGAGACAATTATGAATAATCTAAATGGGAGTAGCCATTTGAGCAAGGCAGACAATGGGCAGGACCCGCTGGAGTGGGCCAGAAGAAAGAAAGGGAAAGGGAAACAGGAGAGAGGATATCTGGCCGAACATAGGAAGACGACACAGTGGCGTAGCAAGGTCAGGTGGTACCCGGTGCAGAAAATTTCTTGTCACCCTCCCCCCACATTGAAGTTATTAAAAGAAGGAAAAATAAGATACTTACAGTTGCAAGTGTTATTTTCTGGTTTATTTACTTAACATTGTGAGCATGCACAACTAACTCAAGAGAATGACATGGGGTGACTGACCGGCATGGCAGCGGATAGGATTGGTTGCTGGTTGAGTGATGATGGGTCACCGGTTGTCTCACTCAAGTACAAACTGCTCGCTTCGGCAGCACATATACTAAAATTGGAACGATACAGAGAAGATTAGCATGGCCCCTGCGCAAGGATGACACGCAAATTCGTGAAGCGTTCCATATTTTTATCTGCTATGATTAAATGGGCACAGGATGTTGGACATAATATTATGATGGCTGGCTGGGAACAGTTATGGACCACTGGTATGAAGTTTATGGCATGCAATGCCTTAAAAGAGAATTTAATGAAAATGATTTACAGGTGGTACATAACACCAGTCAAGCTTGCAATAATTTATCATTTGCCTGATAATAAATGTTGGAAATGCAATGAAACTGAAGGTACTTTCTTTCACCTCTGGTGGACATGCCCAAAGATTAAGGCATTCTGGGAGATGATCTATAATGAAATGAAAAAGGTATTTAAATATACCTTCTTAAAGAAACCAGAGGCCTTTCTCCTGGGCATGGTGGGCCAATTGGTGCCAAAGAAGGACAGAGTTTTTTTCATGTACGCTACAACAGCAGCAAGAATACTCATTGCAAAGCACTGGAAGACACAAGATCTACCTACCAGGGAAGAATGGCAGATGAAGCTGATGGATTACATGAAATTGGCGGAAATGACTGGCAGAATCCGAGACCAGGGAGAAGAGTCGGTGGAAGAAGATTGGAAAAAATTCAAAGCTTATTTACAGAAATATTCCAAAATTAATGAATGTTAGAAAGATGCTGGAAAGAAGTTAAATGACTTTAGTAGAAATATTATAAAGAATTAAGTATGAATAGACTGACATTGGGTAAAGAGGTAAATTCAAGTCTAAAATTGCGTTAAGTTAAACCATGGAACTAAATTTGTGAAAGAGGGAAAGGAATTGCTGGAATATTTAATTGAACTAGCATACAAAAAAGGAGGTGTGAGGAAGTCGAGGAAATAAGCAAATGAAAGATAAGGATATGAAAATATGTGGTTCTTTTGTATGTTTGTTTGTTCTTTTTTGGGGTTTTCTTTTCTTTTTTAATGCTTTTGTTTTCTTTCTTTTTCTTTTTGTATTGTTGATGTTTTGTATTTCTGAATTTATTTTTGTTTTTGAGGTTTTGTAATTGTTTATTGTTTATTTTTTTTCTTTTGTTTTACTTCTGTTTTTCTGCAATGTTCAAACTTCAATAAATATTTTATAAAAAAAACAAACAAACTGCAGAGACAGGCTTTGGCGGAAAGAAACACCCCCTTCCCTTCCTTATCCACACGCTCTGCACTACACAGTGTCGAGTTCAGCCGCGTTTTGTTGTGTTTGTTGCCTGAACTAAAAAGTTTCAATACGTATTATGTTGACTTGTTGAGGTGAATTAATTGTCAGACATAGTTATTAAATAATATTTTTTTCAAAAAAAAAGTGTCGTGAGCCCCAATTTTTAATTTTTATTGTAAAAACACATATTTTTGCCATTTTTTCACCCCCTCAGTGATGACACCCAGGGTGGACTGCACCCCCCGCAACCCCCTTCCTATGCCAGTGAGAGGACAAAGCTAGCAACAGTGCAGCATTAGTGATGCTCTGGATGTTAAGGCTAGCACAAATTATCTCCCCCCACCCAGCACTACCCAACCTTCTGGGACGTAATTGCCATGCAAAAAGAGGGTCTGCTACTTTCTTTAGGAGGTGCAATGATAGCGTTCATTTTTAAATATATTCCTTTAGCATTACGAAGTTGGTGATGCCTTAGGGTCACAACTTGCAGGCAGTTCCAGAGGCCTAGAAGTTGCTGCTGTCTTGGAGGCTTGGGAGAATAAAGTTCTAGTTTATTTCTTGAGTTTGTCTGCGGAGCCAGTGTTGTCAAATGGTGTCAGCAGTGGAATTCTAGTTTGACAGTGGACCCAGAATCATTACTGGGGCAGTGGTGTGTGTGTGTCACCAGCAAAGGCTCGGTGGGGGGCAGCCCTGTGTTCCATGCCTGTGTTCCGCGCTAAAGCTGTGCCCACCCCATTCCATAGAATGGGACCCGGGGGGGGGATGTCGCTTGTTGGATCCAATCTTTTAGCTTCTCTTGAACCCCATTTTGCCTATGCACTGTACTGATCTGAGCACTGCAGTTTTTGGCAGAAACCTTGCTATTGAGTGTGAGTTCTTTATCCTTCAGTGAGAGCCAGAACTCTTTCTAACACCCTCATTTTCACTCTCTCCCTTTTTTGCTCTCTTTCTTCTCCCCTTTTATCTTCAGGCGTGTACCTAGGGCTTGGCCAGGCTGACCTCTGCCGAGGGCACAGGCCCAGAGGGTGCAAAAAACCGCACCTCTCCATTCAGGCTGGGAGTGGCTGGGAGTCCATTCGCCTGACTGTCTGGGCAGCTGGGGGGGGGGCGTGTTGATACAGCTCTTTGCCAAGGGTGCAAGGAAGCCTGGGAATGCCTCTGCTTGTCTTCCTGGATTCCTGCATTGCAGGGGGCTGGACTAGATGACTCTTTGGATCCCTCCCAACTTTACCATTTTATTATTCTTTCCCATCCGGGGGCTGGCGGCAGGAGGGGCAAGAGAAACACGCTGGCTAGAGTTCCAAGCAGAGGGGTTTTGATATTAGGCAGAGGGTGACATAAAAGGAGGCCAGGGTCGCGGCTGCAGTTGCCCATTGAGTGTGGTGGGAAAAGAGCAGGATCTCCTGCAGCAGCAGCAGCATGAAGAGGGAGATTGCCTAGGACTGAAGGGGTCTTTGCCCTATCATGGAGGTGTGTAGTTTAGTTGGAATGTCTTCTACAGCCGCTGGTCTTGACAGCATGAATGAGAGGGGCCTTTTGGTAGTTACAGAGGAGCCTTCAAGTCTAAGAGTGAAGGCAAGTCTACTTTCTATGGAGTCAGGACTGCGCACCTGACTGCTGGTTGTGACTCTTCTGCTTCTTAAGCCTGTGCTGAAGTGAATGGTTTGGAGACTGAGTCCCTAGGAAGCTAGCTCACCTCCATGGGTAGCGTTGGATGAACCTGCTAATTTTGGATTCCATTTTCCCCCCTTGGAAGTTCAATTCTCATTTATAAATGACCTTGCTATTTGTTTGTTTGTTTGTTTGTTTTAAAAGAATCCTCAGGGAAACATGTACATATTTTAATGACCATTTCTTATAACACGTATTTTCATTTGCCAATTTGCTTAATAAACACATTTTTGCCAGTATTTTTTCCTAATATAATGCACTTTAGTATTTTCACTAATACAAACATTTTTTGGTGTGTATTTTCACCTGATATATGCTCATTTTTGTGGGCCAGTTTTGGCTGGAGAGCTTCACTGGGAAATTCAGAGAAGTGCAAATTCTGGTTTGCATATTGGCTCAGAGTATATGAACTAGATCAGTTGAGAATGAGATGCAAACCAGACCAATTTCTCCCTCTTCACCTCTTGTGACTGCAGGGAGGTCCATATCCTGAGCCTCAATAGTGTCAGGCTGTTTGAGGAACTTCCTCGTATCTTCTAGTTGAGATTCCTGCATTGAAGCAGGTTGGACTAGATGACCCTTGGGGTCCCTTCCAACTCTACAATTCTACAATTCTATGATTCTGATTTGAGAAGTCAAGATGTACCTTGCCCTGATTGAAAGCCATGGCGATTAAGTCACTGGTGATGGATAGGAATCAAATGTCCACTCCTTGGGAAATGAAAATGCTGCCTCCGGAGGGGACTTGCATCCATGCACAGCAGGGGGGTGGGGGGTGGACATGCCAGGGGTGTAGCTTTTTCCACCTGCCCCACCAGTGGCTTGAACCCAGCAACTTTTACAACACATAGAAGCCAGAGGGGGCAGTTTGAAATGGAGGACTGAGCACCAAGGATATGTGGGATGTAAGATAAGCAGTCAAGTACAACACCCAGAGTGGACACACAGGGGGGTGTCACCCCAGGATTTCCTGTCACACCTGGCATGGAGCTTCCTCCCCCTGCATGTAACTAGGTAGATGGGCGTGACCCTGGGAGACCCCATAAAAGGGGCTGGTCACGCCGTCATTGTTCTCTTGATGCCATTCTCTCTCTTCTGCTGCTGATACTGTTGTGTTTTGCTGTCTGCTGGCTCTCAGCCAGCAGGACATGGGCTCAGATCCCCATATGGGATGAACCCACATTCTCTTCTGTAACTCTAAGCTAAAGCCTGCCTTCAGGGATCCAGCTGTGAACTGAATGTGAGTAAACTTCTTATTACTTATAAAGAAGATTGTTGTATCTTTATTCCTTTTTAGGAGGTATAAAAGGGGACTTACCAGGAACAAAACCCAATCTGGACAAAGCCAGATTGGATTGCTTAAGTAAAGAGATTAAAATGAATCTACCAACTAGCTTCCTGCTATATATTGGGGAATGCTGCTGACTCACAAGCGTGAGTGAGAAAGGATACTATTAAATCAATATATCCTCTCCTGGTATCCATAACATTCCACAGGAGAGAGTCATTGGCAGATAAGAAAGCAGCACTGGATGCGTCAGGAAGTAATTTGCCTTGGCACTTTCTTATAAGTGTGAATTGATTTTTGCTGTGCTGCGTCAGGCTGAATTATGAATAAGGGAAAGCAAGGCTGGATCTCCCAGAGGTGAGAATATTGGGGGGTGGGGCAGAGGGAGATCTCTCAATACAGAGAGCCTGGTTTTGGTCTCATTTCGGCTGATGCCCGAACAGAACTTCATTTAAGCCAAGGTTCACTTGGAGGTATTATTTATTTGTTATTCACTGTATTTGTGTCCATTCTTCTTCAAGGAGCTCAAGGTAGAACCCATGTTTCTCCCTCTTCCTCATTTAATCCCCACAACAACCCTGTGAGGTTGGGTAGACTGAGAGGTAGTGACTGGCCCAAGGTCACCCCAGGGAGCTTCATGTACACTGAGTGGGGATTTGAACCCCAGTCTCCCAGACCCTAGTCCAGCACCCTCTCCACCACACAACCCTGGTGCAAAATAGAAAGGGCAAAGGGCATTTATCTCACCCCAGATTAATATTGGAAGCAGCTCGCTGGGTGGAGCAGCATCACTGTTCTCGCTTCTTGGCAGGTGAGTAGCTTGTTGGGCTGCAAACACAGGAGCAGGAGCACAGGATTGGCTCTGTTAGTCCATTTGCACCTTTGCAACACCTTCCTGGCACTTCGGCCCTTTCCTTGTCCTGGCTCTCACTGCAGGATGAAGAACGCAAACTGGCAGTATGGTTTCTACCAAAATCTCTGGTGCTCAAAGCAGTACTGTATGTAGATGAAATGGGGTTCAAAGGTCCAAAGATGTCTGAGCAGACTTGGTGATTTGAGACCATGTAAATCAGGGGTGGGGAACCTCAGGTCCGAGCCTTGAATGTGTCCCTCTCAGTCTTTACCCCCAGCCCTTGAGTTCCCCTCCCAGGCCACACCCCTCAACAGCCTTGCATCACACCCTCTGTGACTCGCTAGAATGTATCCTTGATACACCTGTACAAAGGTGTCAGGGTCTGGCTGGATGAAGAGGAAAGGGGGGGGGCTCCAGTCAGAGAACCTCCTAGGGGAGCCTCAGAGGAGGGAGGCTCAGAGCCAGGGGGTGGGGTGGGACACAGAAGACGGGTCAGTGGTCTACATGTTTTGCCCCTCCCCCTTTTTATCCTCACAACAACCCTGAAAGGTAGGTTAGGCTGAGAGAGGGTGACTGGCCAAAAGGTGACTGGAGATTTGAACCCTGGTCCCAGCCCAACTCTCTAACCATTATATGAATCTGATTGGATTGTTTCATGTGTTAGGGTTTAAAAAAACTTTCGCACCTTGCCTTGGAGGTGAGCGACAAGGAAGGGTGGACTTGTAATTGACTAAATAAATTAATAAATATGAATTGGGGAGGAAGTTGTAAGTAAAACCAGCATCCTAACTGGAGAATTGGCCTAACGCTCTTATAGGCATTGTGTGTGTGAAAGAGAAATCTAAGGGGGAGCCATGAAATTACAGACCTGTCAGCCGACTGCCTGACCCAGATACATCAGTGGAGTGCAATTTCACGGCTAGCGTTGTCAAAGATGTGGAACAAGCTTTGCTCCTCCCTGCCCAGACACTTATTCTGGGGCCACCTGCTGCCTAGACAGACGCCCTTTGTCCTGGCGCACGGTGGCATGTGCAGCCTCCCGGTTCGCATCAAACGGAGCCTGATGCTTCACGTTGCCCCTCGAAGTATCTGCCATCACCTGTCACCCTCCGCTAAGCTCCCCTCCAAACACTTGACACAAGAGTCGACTGAGAGAAGCTGGTTTGCTTAACCTTACTGTTAGAATCATAGGAGTGTAGCATTGGAAGGGAGCCTGAGGGTCATCTAGTTCAGCCCTCTGCTAAGCAGAATCAAATTAGGAAGAGCCTCATTACCTCATAGGGTACCTTCCAGTGGCTGAAGACAATGTGAAACAAGCAGTGTTACCTCCCAGCCATACAGGCCAGAAGTTTCTATAAATGCTCCCTGCCCCCTCCATCCTCCATTCAGGTAAGCGGCAGGCATTGTGAAGTTCAAGGACCATGCCAGCCAGCCAAAAGTACCTTAGGAGAACACAGGGCAGGGCTAGAGAGACAGATCTGGAAGACCACCTAACTCTGTGTACTGAGGTTCCCCACACCTGACCCATCCCATAGACAGCCATCATGAAGGTGGTCACAGTTAGGGATATCAGTAAAATTCGTTATTTTTGAACGTGATACTGAATGCAGGCACCTTCCATTGCCTCAGATTTAATTATGAAATGAATGTTCATTGTTACAAATGACTGTGATATTTCACGGGACTCTACGCTGTCTCCTCTGTCTTGAAAAGAACCTCTGAACTATCATTTGGTTTCAAGGCTCTCAGAGCTGGACCTCAGTGTCCGGGCTGAACAATGGGGATGTTCAGGTATACTGGGCCGAGGCCGTTGGGCTTTAAAGGTCATCACCAACACTTTGAATTGTGTTTGGATTCGTACTGGGAGCCAATGAAGGTCTTTCAGGACCAGTGTTATATGGTCTTGGCAGCCACTCCCAGTAACTAGTCTAGCTGTCACATTCTGGATTAGTTGTAGTTTCCATGTCACCTTCAAAGATAGCCCCACGCACTGGCGGGGGAAGGGGGTGGGGGTGGTCTGCCCCGGGGTGCCATCTCTGAGGGGGGGGGTGACAAAAAGGTACCCCACAGGGGCTCGCCCTGCTGCTGCCATGTGTGGAGGATCGTGCCGCTCCTGCCGCAAGCGGAGGATTGTGCCGCCCCCACTGAAATGGGTTTTCAATTCTAAAAACCATGACACGGGTTTTCAATTCTAAGAAAACCCATATCATGGTTTTATTTTTTAATGGCTGGCTTTCTACAGTCTCCACTTTTCTATCGGATAATTCCTTCACAATGCCTATGACCTTGAGCATTTCAGAAGAAATGATTCCTTGGTTAGACTGTAGCCGTGGGGAGACTTCCGGGGTGGCGCCACCGGCAATGGCGGACTCCCTCTGAACTGGAGGGACTAGCTCCGCAGGAAACGGGTCTTCTCCGCTATGGCGAAGCGGGGACCCTCTTAAAAATCACAGGCGGATGAAGCCTGTGACCGTGGGACTCGGCGGGCACCTTTAGCGCCCCCCCAACCCGCTAAGGAACCCACTAACGGGCTCTGAAGTGAAGAGGGGGAAGTGGCGCGGTGCTGTGAGTCAGCTGCTATTTCCGTGGAGTGAAGCCGCATAGCCGTTGCCGGAGAGCGCTGCCTTTTTCCTGGGACAATTTGGACTTTAAAATAAGCACCCGTGAGTACTTAGACTTTGAACAATTGGATATCAAAGAATGACTAGCGAGCAGGAAAGAATTGGATTTTAAAAACCTACTCTAATTTGGTACAGAATGGGAAGGTCTAAACAGTTCTTTTGTAAACAGCCTTCCGTTCTTTTGTAAACAGAATAAAGCAAAGACAATTTAAACTAGAGCTCAGAAAATCGTTTTTAAAAGATTGGATTTCACCATTTAAAATTGTGGAACCCCCCTTCGACAGCAGGAGAAGGGGGAGATCTTTTTGGACTGTTTAAAGTGACTTTAAAGTAAAGTAACTTTCCTCCGTCCTGATCCTGGAGTGGGGTGTCAGGACTGACGTTTGAAGTTCATTGACCAAAGACAAGTGTTTTTGACAGATAGCTAAAAGAAGAGAAACATAGTGATTCCACTGCTCCCTTTCGCATTTTAAAGGAATATATATGGACAAAGTATCTTAAAAAGGGAAACTTTGTTGCAAGAACAAATAGAAGTCTTCCCTCTAGAGGGAGTCTGTGAAACTGTAACTAATTCCAGGGAGCTGGCAGCTGTTACAAATTACAACCGTGGGAACAGGCATCTGACCTTGCAGGACAATGTATTCAGAAGCTTTGTTGTGTGCTCTCTATAAAACAAATGCCCTACTGGAACAATTACATGAGAAGGTGAATTGGATGGCGACTTCGACTAGAAATTTTGAACAGGCAGTGGGAAATTTTGAACAGACAGTGGGAAAATATGTGGAGCCCACTCAGGAATTAAATCAGGAGAGTGTCTTGACAGAACAGGCCCAACAGGAATATGATTTTTCGGATTTGACAAATGAACTTGGAAAAAGCCATATTTGGAAAGGAAAAGTTTGGTTTGGCTTGGAAATGGGGGCTGGATTGACCCCCCTATGCTGGGATGCCTGGACTTTTCAAATATGGCAATGGGCCGTGAGATGTTTGGGACTGTGGGGGCTCTTAATTTTGGAGGGTCTTTGAAACATGCTTTTAAATACTGCATGGAATTCAGTGTTGAACATGGAAAAGGGGCTGATCTGTCGAGAAGGGTTAAAAACATTGTCAAGCTGGAGTTACCACGAGCAGGAGACAAGGGAAAATACAGTCACAAATATGAAGAAGAGCCGCGGAAGGGACGTGGAAGAGACTTGAGGGCCTCGGACATAAGGTTGCCAGGTTAATGGGCTAGATCGACGGGATAATAAGGACTGACAAAACCTGGAACCAGGAGGAAGGGACGTTGGATGAAGATTGGATCTGTTTGTATCTTTTTTCTTTACCATTAGAACTGTTTTATAAAATTGATGAATGTTAGAAAAATGTTGGAATGAAATTACTTGGCTTTAGCAAAGATGTTTAAAGAAATATGAAAGAATATTATGGTTATGAGAAGTTGGTAAGGATAAGATTTAAGTTTTAAGCTTTAAGGTTTAAGGTTTATTTTATTATAGAAAGATAAGATCAAAACAGTTTAGGGTAATGCAATGACAGAATATTATGAAACATGGAAAGGATTTGCTGGGATAATTAATAACTAGGATACAAAGAAAGGGAGGAGGAGGAGGTCTAAGAAAGAAGGTAATGACAGTTAAGGATCTGAAAATAATGAATTTGTTTTTAAATGTTTTTAACAGCTTGTGATGTATTTTTGCATTTTTCTTTTTTTTCCTGTCACTTTTTCTTATTTTGAATTTTTACTCATATGGTGGGAAGGGGTTTGTTGTTTTTTCTTTTTCTACTTTGTCAACTATTTTTATTTTGTACTTTCTTTTGCTTCTATTTTTTATTTTTTGTAACATCTTGAAAATTTCAATAAATATCTTTTTTTAAAAAAAATAGACTGTAGCCGTGGACAGACATTCTGTAGATACATGGTAAAAAGACCTTGGAGGCCTGTGGCAAGTTTGAGGAAGGCGGTGGCAATTGTGGCTGAATTTGGAGGAGTTTTTTGAGCTATTCTTTGAGATTGCCATCTAAATGCACAGTGTTGTCATTTTCCTTGGGTGATTGCAAACCCAAGAGGCAGTGAGTGGTACCCATTCTGGAGGAGAAATTGTAAGTGATGGACTGTTTATGGGATGGCATGAGTGTATGTGCTGCGACATGCAAGTTTGGCAGGGATGAGTCTGGTGTATGTGACATTAAGATAAGGGAGAAGAAAATCCAGGCACCAGGGCAACAAGTACCATGTGTGGGACAAGGCCCTGGTGAAGGCGCAGGAAGCACTCAACCTGTGGCTGGACAACCTGAACCGCCAGTGTATCCCTATTGACTGCAGCACCTTGTGCAAGTGTATGTGCACTTCAAGCAGCCTTCACAGGAGTTCTGAGCCAGCTGGCTGAAGAACATCAGCCCCGTGTTGAAGCTGCATCCACAGACCAGGAGGCTCCCAAGTGGGCCCTGACCAGCTGAAGAGGCAAAAGCACCAGCTGCCCATCACCATGTTCCTCAGCAAGACACCATCAGCCTCAACAAGTGCATCTGCCCACAACAAAGCACTTCAAAGTACTGGTCTACGCCACTTGTCATTGTTTGCAAATTGTCCTCCAGAGATGAAGAAGATGGAGTGCCACCATTGCCACTGTTCCTGTCCATCTGGTACAGC